GCGATGGCCTCCAACCTAAGAGCGATGGCCTCCAACCTAAGAGCGATAGCCTCCAACCTAAGCGTCCCATATGTGGTGGAATGCACACCGTGGTTGAGTGAGCTTTCGTTGAGCATCGTGCACAAACGGAACTGCGAACACCCGCGGACCTCGTTGAGAATTCGGCTCACGGGGTACACCACAGTTGAGATCCTTGCAGCTCACGAAGAACACAAAACAATTCCGAAGAACACAACACAGCAAAAACAGCATGAACATGTGGGTCCCATCGCTATTCGGATGCAGGCCATCGCTAGTAGGGTGGAGGCCATTTCTGCTAGGTTGGGGGCCATCGCTAGTAGGGCGGAGGCCTGTGGGGCCCTGTGCTTGTGCGACTTCATGCCTGTAGAAGAACGGCAGCGTAGCTTCAGCAAAGTTGTAGGGACTTGACACAGCCATGCTCTTTGGCAAGATCTCGCCAAGCCTGAAGACTTGTGATGTGGAAACAGCCACAAGTACATTGCCCCAAGACTCACCACAAGTAGAAGCGATCTAGGAAGGAATGCTCGCTATGCTCCGCTTAGAACACAACACACACCTGCAGTTCAAAGGTTAACTACAGTAAATGAACTCGAGGTGTGTGTTCCATCTTGATCGTCGCAAATGAAGCAGTGTTTTTGTCCGGAGGTGAATGATCATATGCAATCCATGGATGACAAAATATGACAAGCAGTTCCCAAAGCAACGAAGCACACATTCTACAGTCGGTTCTTGCTTGTTCATCCAAGTCGAAGGAACAGTGCGACCAATAGCCTTTCACAAGCATGCTATACCTAAGGGTTCTCATTCGCCCAGTCGAGGGGATTTATTATATAATCATTCGAACAGGTCAGCTTGGGATCTGAAACCTTCTTTTACTATTGATACGCCTTTGCATTCCTGCCAGTACACATCTTGACGAAGCGATAAATTGTGACGGACAACATGATTTTGGCCAAATGTTGAGTCAGGTGGTGACATGACTCACGTGTTACATCAGGGTCAACATGACAGCGAACAATTCACGACAATGCTCTGAGTCTGAGCTTTTCCAGCTGAAATCAAACACATCTTGGCTCAATTCTGTATATCCTCTGAACGTAACCCAAACGCATGGCAGTTCTCCTTTGTGTATATCCACGATTGCAATTACTTCCACAAGGAAGGCACGATCATACCGTGTGTTAGCTGTTGCAGTGGAGAAAAACACCCACCAAAATGGCATGACCATCGCAGTTGGAGCACAGAAATATGTGTGTGTCGAGGTTAGTTCATTCCCTCACAAGTCTGTCGGACTGTCGGACGCGTGCGGGGTCGAAAACGTCTGGAGCATCATTCCAAGCTTGTGGTGTGATTCAATTCTGGCTACGCACATACAGGTGCAGCAAGGTGTGTAAAATGTCACCCATTTGCGTGGCAGGTGCAGTACTCAATGAGAGCTGGACTTGTTCGGAGTCAATTGTCGCAGTAGGCGCAATGAATCAGCGGCTTTTAGTGAAGGTGATGGTCACGGTGCTGTGCTGCTTGGCAGTGCTGTGTGATGTGTGTGTTTGTGAAAACTCTGGAGTCAAGCGTGTCTGTTTAGACTCGTTTAAACGTTTCAGTAGGTGGGGGTGTTGGGGCTTGTGCAAACGTACCTGCTTTTGATCGCACTCGGGGTCTAAGTGCAGCTGGGTCCTACCCTGTTGGTACCTACCTTTAATTAGAACAACATTGCTGGCCTTTGCATGCGTTGTTTGCTACGTGCCGATGAACTCGACGATGAAACTTATTGAATCTTTGGGATTTGGGCATTGGCTGATCAAATTCCTTGTGGGTTGCTCAGCCTGTTTCATTCCTTTTCACTAGAATCACTAGAATTTCTGAAGCATGCACCGGGGAACCTCACCCCCACCTAACGGTGAAAGGAAAACAAAGCAGGAACCGCGTCTTCGTGCTAACTAATGTGCGACTCTTTTAGGAACTCTTGTGGGGACCAGCCCACAAAGACTTTCCACCCCTTGGAGGAAGCAAAGGTGCAAAAGATGTTGCTCATCTCCCGTGAAGCTGACGATGCACTTAGAGGTGGTTCCCGTCTGACCTTGACCCCAAGGCGGCGGGCGCAACTACCGTGGTCTGGCCAGGCGGTTCGGTCTGGCCGTGCGCACGAGAAGTGGCAGTGCTGAACCAAGGTTTTTCCATGAACAACTGGCGTGTTCTTTCGCTTCTAACAATGTTCAACTGATGTCTCAACAAAGCCATTGTTCCACAGGGCATCTGCCATAACAAACACCATTCACAATTCACACTGAATTTTGGTCGCCTCGTGCAATTGATACAACTGTGCTGTCTGTCCAACTGTGCAACAGACTGCCCCGCCAACATTCCGCAGACACGCCATTGCGCCCCACATTCTCTGATTTCATTCCCCTCGTCTAACATGTAGGGGATGTGAAGAAAACAATTGCTCAAGTCAAGTCCGTACTTCCTGTGAGACGAGACTAAAACACCAACATTCCATTTGCAGTCCATCTCATGATGGAATATGCAAGGTCCGCAAACGGGCTGCTGTATCTGCTGAAACAGCACTGTGTCCCAGGCTCACCGGTGGTCAGAAGATGCACGAGACAGCTGTCACACGTGTAGTGAAGGTAAGAATACGCAAGAATCTAAATGCTCAAGATGTGCATTGTGCATTGCTAGGACACTGCGTACAGATTGAAGGAAAAAGGATCTAAAGCATGCCATGCAACATCGAGTGTAACTGAAGGCAAAAGAATCCCAAACCACATGTCAATGTACAGAAATGCCAAGCTCATTGAATTGCTAGGAAACAAAAAAACAAAGAGAAATGTAAGGAAGGGTTCTTGAAGAAAGGGAGGCCATTGCTATTAGGTTGGAGGCCATCGCTAGTAACTCCGCTAGTAGGTTGGAGGCCATTACTATTAGGAAGGATTCTTGAAGAAAGGGAGCACACTCTTGCCACGCATTCCAGACTGGATCCCTGATCTGTAGGTCCCGCGCGTTAGTTGCACCAGGGTCACGGACACGGTCGCCTGAAAGTACTTGACAAAAGTGAATGGCACACCCTGATCTTGCAAAAAGCACCTGTGTACAATACATATATCCAAATATGTGAGAAAATGACCGGAAACAGGACTTGAAGGCAAAAAGCGAGCCTAGTAACAAGTGCCACGCTAGTAGTAACAGGTGCCTTACTTGTAGTAACAATTATATAAGCCAAACTCTGAAATCACCTGCCAAGGTTTGCTTGGCCCCTGACAATGCCAAGGCCTTTGGGCCCAAAGAGTTGCCCACAGATTTCCGTGATGAACGCCGTGCTCACCACACCTCCACGGATGAAGATGAAAATACATATCAAAACTTGAAGTAGTACATATCTTGACATGTCTTGACTTGTGGAGTCACATGTCTTTCATTGTCTTGACACCCTTGACTCTTGGCATGGCCTGCTAAGGTAGCGCCAATCAAGATCGTCTGCATGAATCGCTGGATATCTTCTCTTAGTGCAGTCCATTTCCCGAGCTCCACCTGCGAATGAATCTCTAAAATTGCAAACGTGTTTTGCTTTGTTGTTTAAAGGGGGGCAGGCCGCTAGAGGTAGCTAGTAGGAGCTAGGTCGCAGCTAGGTAGCTAGTAGCTACAAGAACGCTACTACCTTGGATGCAGGATAGCTCGCGCTTCGTGAAGGAAGCTCCCCCGCCGCCGTAAGCGCTCGCACTGACTGATGATTTGGTTCCTAGATTTTTAGGGAAACTTAAGGTTGGAGGCCATCGCTAGTAGGTTGGAGGCCGTTTCTATCTGTGTCCTACCAAGCCTTGGCACTGGCGCGTCCTCCATTTTCACGCAATTCTCTGACTTTTTTCTCTGCCTAGCGCATAGCTGAAGCCATGTCTTGCAATCAGGATAAACAAAATGCACAGAAGGCACATAGTAACATTTTAGGAAACACTTTGAAGATACACTCACTGAGCCAGCGAAGAGTTTGGTTCCTTTAAAAAACGATTCAGCTCCTTCTCCGACTCCCGCTGGGCATACTCCCGGACTTTCCATGGCCACAAGGTGGTGATCGCCGTCTCCGTACCCGCACACACGGCAAAGGCCACGAATGCAGCACAGGAGAAGGCCAGATCTGCAGCCAGTGAGCCACAAACTCCGTTGTAAGCCTTGACTCGCTCAGCGAAAGTGCCCCAGTTGGCCCTTCCAGATCCGGAATGGAACATTCTCACCAAGACCGTGCAAGCAGCCGCTCCTGGTGTCGAATGTGGGCATGACGGAGCATCGACATGACCTGCTGAGTAAAGACTTTGCTTCTTGTTACGTTCGTAGTAATGCTACTAGTAAGGCCAGGAGCGCCCCCAGTACCCCAGTAGCGTCCTTCTTGTTCCTAGTAGCGATGCCCTTTGTTCCTAGTAGCTTCTGATTCTTGTTACTCTCTTTCGCTCCTAAGAAGGCAAGGATTGCCAGTGATCTTCTTGCACTACGCTTCACACCTTGGTCCGCCACGGTCATCGTTGGCCTTCTGCGTCTGATCGATAGGTTTCTTGAAGCCAAGCTTGCATGTAGTAGCTTCAAGGTCCAAAAGTTAAGTGTCCCTAAACAACTAGTAGCTTCCTTGCTACTACAGCCTGCTTCCACCAGCCTATGGGCCATGTCTTTTGACAAGAAGTAGTGAAGCCCAAACAGATTGCGGCCATGCGCCTTGCTTCCTCTTTGACGGCTTTCGCCCTCCCGAACAACGCACCGAGCACCTCCAAAGAAGTCATAGCATCCGCAATATTTCAATAGGAGAAATGATGTACAATGAAAACACATGCAAACGTGCTTTGAATATAATGCCACATATTTGTGCTTCTGTACTGCAAGCAATCGGCCTTTTCTGCCGGCTTGTCTTCACATGTGCCATAAAGGTCACCGCCAGCGAACATCCACATCCCCATCTGGTTGAAAGGCGTCCATAATCAAATTGGTGTCCGTGGGCTATGGATGCACTCAAGCCTTGCAATAAGTTCAGACTGAGAACTCGAATGCGTTCGAAGAGCCATCAAAAATGCTCAGTGACGTTTTGAAAGTCGCACACTTCTTCAATCATTGACTATTCTGTGCAGGTTGCCTCTCTGACCTTCTGCAGGGAAGACCACGACGACCGGCGCAACTGCCACTTGAGTAGCCATTGCTTAGAGCCAGTCTGCTGGACTACTGCCAGGCTCTGCAGAAGTACCCTCAAAGGGTACAGGGTTTACAAAACAAGGGCTTTGGTCTTAGCTAGGCTAAACAGCTCGCAAGCACAAGCTACCGAACTGTCTAAAGTGTAGACCATATCGGAAAATATCTAAAAATATCTGGATTGTGGACTTCTAGAAGCTGAGCCGCTACGAGAGGATCTGCTGAAGTCGCGAGTGGATTCTTTTTGTCAAGGACGCTATTAGGTGGAGGCCATCGCAAACAGTAGGTTGGAGGCCACCGCTACTAGTAACAAAGGGCATCGCTACTAGGAACAAGGACGCTACTAGTAACTCCTGGCACTACTACCAGTAACAAGGACGCTACTAGTACAAAAAATCCTTGGGTCCCAGCGCCGGAGTTGTTGTAGGCTTCCACGACGAGTGCTTCACTTCTTTGACCGATGGCCTCACAGGCCGTACAGTAAGTGGAAGGACGCAAAAAAATACCTTCCCAGATTTTGCCCTTTAAGCCTGAGTCCTTAGGAATAACATGGAATAACTGAATCACTTATTTGTTTCCTTAAGGTGATGCCTTATCGTCCCATCTTGTGGTTCGCTCCTCTCTCGGCAAGATTGAGACTTCAGGCATGAGAACATTCAATCTCACAAGTTGAGGTTCGCACGAACTCTCCAACAGCACATAAGGACCCAGAACTGCCTAGCGCAACTGTTGCACGAGATGCCGAGGTCCAAGGTCTATGCTTGTTTGGTTACTCGGTTGCTCCACCTGAGAATTCCTTTCATCTGTCATGAACTGCTGCCCACCTTTGCCGTCGTTTGTCCAAGCCTCCTGGAAAGATCAACTTCTGTCACGTGCTACAAGATGCTGCTGGTCTTTCTATGCCCAGCTCCCGTCATTAAAACGTAGGGAAGCACGGAGCAACGCCGCTGTGCTTGGCAAGGGCTCGAACGCCATAACCTCACAGCACTGCCGGAGAGTCCATTTTATGCTTAAAAGGAAGGGCCTCCGACCTAAGAGCGATGGCCTGCAACCTAATTGCAATGGCCACCAACCTATTAGCAATGGCCTCCAAACCTAATAGCCAACCTAATTGCAATGGCCACCAACCTATTAGCAATGACCTCCAACCTAATAGCCAACCTAATTGCAATGGCAATGGCCCCAACCTAATAGCCAACCTGATTGCAATGGCCACCAACCTATTAGCAATGGCCTC